CTAAGTGTAGGAAAGAATTCAAATGCATGCCAGAGTTAGAGTTTTTTAAAAAAGTTTATTAAAGAAGTACAGAGAAAAGACAGGGACAGAAAAGCAAAGACAAAGAGCCAAGGCAAGAAGCAAAAACAAGAAAAAAAGCCCAAGTGTTTGGGGAATTTAGTTTATATATCATTCTTAGTTTCTGTGAATTACAGTTTAAAGACTTTGTTTACCCATTTTCCTTTGATGGTATGGGCATACAGTGTGAAAGGATTAAAGTATGTAATGAGAAAGGGAGAGAATATGTAGCATGAAAGACCTGTTAGCAATTCCCAGTGTTTGATCCTTAGGTTCTTCATGGATTTAGCCATAGGGAGTGAATGATTTCATTTTGCATAGGGTGTGACTTAAAGACTCTGTTTTCCTGTTTTCCCTTCATGGTAGGTAAATGGTTTGTTTGTAACCCCAGCAGAAATCTTCCTTTGTTCTGCAGGTTTCCTCCTGGTCTGGCCATAGGGTTATTCAGCATACTGCAGTCTCTGAATATAGCTTTATTTAACATTTTAGCTCTCTTGCCTCCTCCCTACATTAAGTAGACTGGTTTCCTGAATTCTGTGAACTGTTCTAGAAAATTAATCAAATCCAAGGAGGGGGTCATGAGAAACTTTGATCTTTAGGGAGTTGGTCAAACACAGGTATAACCAAGACTTGGGTTTGGCATCTGAAGTGCGGGCAGTCTTGTGGGACTGAACCCTTAACCTGTGGGATCTGACACTATTTCCAGGTAGATAGTGTCAAAATTGATTAAATTTATGGGACACCCAGTCAGTGTTGGTCAGTGTCCAAGAAGAATTGAGTTAATTGCTTGGTGGTATGGAGAAAACCTACAATCTTAATTTTTTTTCTATATTGTATGTATTTAAGTCTCTGTAAATTTAGGAGTTTAAGGGGCAGATTAAACTCCAAACATGTTGTGTTTGGCTTACACAATATTTATTGTTGATTCTGCCTATCTAATCTATCTCAGTTTGAATGCCTTTTGGCAAGTGAGTTTTTCAGTCATATTGACCCCACCACTGTCTCATGTCCTATACCTGGCACATTTTGCTCATTACCTGGCCCATTTCGCAATTACTATAAAAGGAACTGATTTCTTTCTGTTCTACTCTGAACAATTCTGTGGGTTTTTCTCACATTAAATGTATTGAGTTCTTCACACCAAGCTATTCTCTAATTTTTGATGGACAACAACTGGGTTTCCCACAGTTTAACTCGATTCTGACACTAACTGCCAAGAGTTAGTAAAAACCCCACAGTTTAAGGGCTCAGTCCCATAAGACTGTCCTTCACTTCAGATGCCAATTACAAGTCCCAGGTTATCACTTGTTCTTCTGACCAATCGGCTATATAAATCGAAGGTTCCTATGACCCCCCTCTTGGGTTTGATAATTTGCAAAGACAGCTAACAGAATTCAGGAAAATACTTTAGTTACTATTATTGGTTTATTAAAAAGCATACAACTGTGGAGGAAAAAGGGGCTCCATAATAAATCTGACAAATCCATTGACCGAAAGTAACCTCACAAGGTGATGTGATCACAGATTCCTAACTGGGCAGGTCATGGTGGGTAGTCACATTCCTGGCCTATAGCTTCCTTAGTAAAAGGTTAATCTTTGCCTTCGGAGAGCCCTGTCCATTGTTCTTATGCATCTAGGATAATGCACCTTCGAAATACTAATCTTTTCCAATTCCCTTGGAGACATAACCAGAGCATGGTGACCCCCAAACTTCTCATTGTTATCTTGTTGCTTGCATACTGTCTATTTACTGTAAATGTTAAATGTTAAGTACCCTGTGCCCACCAATGTAAAAGAAGTATATATCACTCCATTTTACTTTTTATCCAATGCTAGAGATTTCCCCATTTTGCTTTCTCCCACTTCATCTACCACCCATGGAGTTCATGTAACCTTCCTACGTTTTTGACTTTGATTCTAAATGTATAAAGAGAACTACAAAATTGCCATTTTCTGGAGCAATTTCTTAATCCTTTGAGATCTTGATATTGGGCATGTCTTCAGTTCAGCTCAAGTAAACTCTAAAATCTCTTACAAACTTTTTCTATAGGTTTCTTTCATTGACACTGTACTATTTGTGCCTCGGTTTCCTCATCTGACAAATGAGGATAAAAACACATATCACTTAGTGTTGCTGTAAGGATTAAATTCGTTTATGTGAAGGGCTGAGTATATAACAAAGACTCAATATATGTTGGTTATTATAATCATAATTATAACGATTGTTATTTCGATACTTCCAAGGGTTTAGCACAGTACTTTTCAGGTAGTAGCTGTTCAATAAGTATTTGAATGAATACGTGAATCAATGAATTAATCATACACCAGTGCCTAAAATATGTAGTTCGACAAAGTAAATTGTCTTTCAGATAGGACTTTAAAATATTATACCTAGAGACTAATATAAGTGTTTCATCTCTTCTTATGGAATTTATTTCTATGAGATTTCCGTTTCAAATGGGCTTCATAACAGGAGCTCCCCCACCCGCCATAGTAGCCCTGGATGAGCCATTTGTTATTGTTCATAAGTTCCCAGTGAAAAGCTAGCAATGGTTTTCTTTATTGGCTAGGCAACTTGCAGTGTCTGCCACAGAAAGGTATATTAATTTTTAACTTGCCAGATTTTCTTCCACTAAGATATCAACAGTGGATGAGAGAAATTTGTTATCCATATCCCTGACAGCAATAAATATCATTGCTTTAAATTCTCTCTCTTTCTCACCAATCTGATAAGTGTAAAGTGATTTAGTGGAAATGTTAAGACTGAAATTCACAGATTTGAACAGGCTGGTATGGAATCAAGTCCATCTGGTTTCCTCGTAAAGTTGAACTATATTGAAACAGACAAAATACATTGCAGATCTTTGGAGAGAATCTATTGTCTATCCTTCCTTTTGCTTTTTAGACATTGTTCACTTTGCTTGCCTAATGTGCCATGGCCATATATGCCATATATAAATGATCCTTTGATCTTACTGCTCTTCAAAAGGAATTAGATAACATTTGATATAAGAAAACACTACTCCAGTACTTCGGATGTTCAATCTTCATAATCTTCATTGTAACCCTCATCAAAAAAAAAAAACCCCATCTCTGTCATAAGCATCATGGCTTATCATATTTCTTGAACTTATCCCTATAAAAAATTTAAATCTCTACTGTTTTATATTCTCCTCTGTTTATATTTATTATCTTAAGTTTTTATTCTTGGTTTACAAAGACTATCAACTTTTCTCACTTAGCTCCTTTTGATCATTTCAATTTTAACATTTTTATGTACTTAACATCTCGCACTTTTGTACTTCCTATTTTAATTGTTTAAATATTTTTCAGGTTTAATTCATTTTAACCATTATTGTTTCTTATTTTCTTCCTCTTTTTCTTTTAAATATCCTGATGATTTTTGTGTCTTTTGATCTACAGTTTTCTGAATTTATCTTTTACCTTCTTTTTATATATTTAGTTTACAAATAGCAAGCAGGAAATCTAGTTTTAGAGACAGGGCCAAAAGGTTTTGCTAATGAATTAATTATAGATGGAGAGGAAGAGAAAGGAATTAGTGTTGAAACATAGCATTTAAGCCAGAGTAAATGGCTGAAAAAGGGAGTAATTTATTAAGAAAGGAAAAACTGAGAGGGGAGTATATTGGAAGAGAAAATAAAGAGTTTTTTCTCTTATCACCACCACCACCACCACCACCACAAAAGCATTTTAACAACAAAAAAGGACATAAATGCAGATATTTTAAAATGAATACTTTGTTTTCTGAAAAATTCGCCAGTCTACTTTTCGTTTCTCATTCTGCAGTGAATTGGTGAAAACCGCATTTGACAATGGAAGGATTTATAGCTCAGGAAAACTCACCGTGGTACCTATATAGAGAATAGATTGAAAAAGGTTGAAGACAATGCCATTAGAATGGAAGCTGTGGAGGCAGATTCCAGTTTGGGTAAGGTGAGAGAGAAAGATCTACAAATTTGATGATAGAGAGGATGGAGATTGAGGGAGTTTTGTCTGATGTCAGTAACGTAGACGAAAAAAGCTTTGGCTGCGAGAGAAGTGGTTGAGGATTATTTTTTGAAGAAAAAATGATAATTTGGTGAGTTAAAAGCAGTATTAGTTATTTTAATAGGCATATTCAATTTTCTGAGATTCAGAGGACGCCTGTGCAGCCAACATGTTGTCTTTTATGTTTAATTTAGCATGGCTCTGGAGACCACACTACTTTAAAAACTTAGTTGAAATAAAAGTAATAAAATAGTAGTAATTTGTAAATGTTTTAGACACATGTTAAATATTATCTTCATCAATGAGACCATGAATTCCTTAAAAGTGCAAGTGCCTTCTTTGTCGTACAGATGTAACCCTTAATTCCGGTGAAAAGAGCCCCGCCCAGGAGACCAGCCCTATGGGTCTCCCACTCTCAGGTTCTTCATTTGCAAAACGGGGCAATGATATGCATTGCATAGGATTTTTGAGGATATTTAATTAAACAATGGACGTGAAAGGAGAAGGGACTCAACACATGTTAGCTATATCTACCTTTCTCCTCTTCCTCCTCTTATGCCCCAGGACTGGGCACACACAGAGGGTACTAACTCTGTGGATGATTGTATGACGCAGGACCGGAAGTTCTTATTTTGGAATTCCAGACTTGGAAAGCATTAGTCTACTAGCAGCTGTGAAGTCAATAAGTTAAAATGTCAATAAAGTTTTGTTAATTAAAAAAAGAAGTATCCACTAAACTACAAATCCCACCATTCCAATGGAAGCCGAAGAGTCAAGTGGCTCGCAAGGAGTGCGGAAGTCTGGACTGCTCGGCCAATCATGCCGAAAGGCTTACGTAGCGACGCCTGGCTGGCCAATCCTGGGGAAGCTTGCTCCGCGCCGCGTGAGTCCCGCCTCCGCGCGCAGCGCTGACGGGTCGCCAGCGGATACGGCGGTCGTGGGGGCGGTGTCAGGGACTTCGCGCCCTCTGGGCACTCGTAGCTCTGGCTCCACCATGGCTCCCAAAGGCGGCTCCAAGCAGCAATCCGAGGAAGACCTGCTTCTTCAGGATTTCAGCCGCAACCTCTCGGCGAAGTCCTCCGCGCTCTTCTTCGGGAATGCCTTTATCGTGTCCGCCATCCCCATTTGTGAGTGCTGGGAGCAGGCGGGTGGGGGAGGCCGCTGGAGGGTCGGGCTGGACGAGGACGTGGCAGGGCCCGGCGGACCAGCGAGAGTAAGCGCTGGGATCTTCGGCTCGCGCTCTCCCCCGAGCTCACCCTGAGCTCAGGAAAGCGCGTGGTCCCTATGGACCTCAGTGTTCTCGTCTGGGATAGTGGTGGGCGGTATTACAGGAAAGTTACTGTGTCGCTTTTTAAAAGTATGCTCGTTCCTGGGCCCCAGTACCTGAGATTTATGATGCACTAACATTGAGATGGTAGCTCCGAATGTGTATTTAAACAAGCACCCTAGTTAAGATCTGGTGTGAACATCTGCATATAACCTGCTGTCTGTTTTTTTTTCCACACAGCCAACTGTCGTTTGCCATTACGAGGTGATAAACTAGTATCATTATTTTGGAGAAACTAATGAATTAAAAGAGAGGGAGATTCCCATTAACCCTTGCATTGAATGTAGCTTTAGGTGAACCGCTTTACACTGCTGAGCATCATCTTCCTAATTTCATGAGATGTTGGACCATTGCCAAGGGCCAGTGATTTACCTTGTTAAAATTCTTTAATCATCCTATTAGGGCAGTTCTCACTTGGGTGGAAAAACTTTGCAGACTTAGCCAAAATTCCTGAATTTGAATTTCCTGACTTTCACACTGCTGCAGTGTTTTTTGGGCGGTCAAATCCAGATTTGTTTTCTCTTTCGGCCTTAATAAAACTCGTCGTGCAATTAATGTAGTGTGAGACCCTAGTAGTTCACCGGCCGCTCGGAACACTCCCTTGATTTCAAATAATAGCCACGTCAGCACAGAAACTGGTTTAGGACTGCATGTGGGATTTTGGAGTGACCTGTATTTACCATGATAGTACCCTGATGAATAAAATTTGAAGTCTGGATTGTGATTGTGTTGAGCCAGAGTTCTCATTTTAGAAGAAACAAAGAAATCTCATCGGGACTAGTAATAGGAAGGTTATGTTTTTCAAGTGTTCTGAATTGGGAAGGCTTGGGGCTGTAACTTCTTACTTGATATTTCACTTCTGAAGTTCCTGATGTGTTATATTGTATTCCTTAAGCTCGACTGTATTTTATCAGGCTTAGCTCTAATTATTTCAGAAGGCCTTTATAACTGGGTGGTAATGTTTTGTTTCTTTTTGTACCCCCCCATCTTAATTCAGGGTTATATTGGCGAATATGGCATATGGATCTTATTCAGTCTGCAGTTCTGTATAGCGTGATGACCCTAGTAAGCACTTATTTGGTAGCCTTTGCCTACAAAAATGTGAAATTTGTTCTCAAACACAAGTAAGTATATTTCTCAAGTGAAAGTATGTTGCATTTTTATGTAGTAGGATGTCTTAAAGACTATTTGTGTGTTGGTGTCAATAAGTATTAATTTGAGATAAATATGTCTGTATTTTGGGGGAAAGGCATCTTAATGCTATGAAGAATTATTAACTAACTGAAGCAGAGACAGTGATTTCTGATACTGCTATGAAAGTAGGTTTTGAGGGTGGAAATAGAATAGTTAAGCACTATCCTTAATCATGGGGTTTAATCAGGAAAACAAACCTGCTAAGTAAATTAACATTTCAGAAGCAAATGGAATTCTTTCTGGAAAGAATTGTTCTGGGCCCTTCATGTTCTATTTTTAGATGTGAAAGAAGTTGTCTTTCTTTTTTGTTATTAAACGCTGACATTTTTAATGCTAATTGCATTTTTTTCTTATGAGTGTGTGAAAATGTAAAATATTACTATATTCCCTCTATTTTAAGATCACATATTATAAAATGTTTCATTATTGTAATGAGAGTTTTTGGAGAAGAAAATCCAAGTCTCACAACTATACATTTATACATTATAAACAATTGTATGCTCTAGTTTCATAAGGTTAAAATGTGGGGGGAGCAGTCTAAATTCAACATTTGTTATTTCAGAGTGCCATGGTCCTATGGGAAGCAGGTATGAATTAATGTTTAATTGGAAAAGGTGCCCATTGAAGTTGTTTTCATGCACACTTTGCTACTTGATTTAAAATAGCAGGATATTTCTTTGCTGCCTTAATGGAGTCTTGGTGCTATATTTCTTTGGAAGTACTTTCTTAAAGACAGTTGGAATTTTGCTGAGACTTGAAGTACCAGTATGTTTGTGTAAACTTTGTCTTTTCATTTCCATAGTTCACACTCTAATTTGGACACTGTTTTTATTTGGATTGTTGTAGCAGTCTCCATCTGGTCTCTTAAAAACAAGTTTAGGGCCCTCTCTGCCATGCACTGTATAAAGCACTTTACATAATCCTTACATCATTCATGAGAGAGTGAACTGCAGGTGTTATTTTTGTTTTATGGGATGTAGAACACGTATTCTTATCTGCCATCATTTTTATGTCACTCTCTTACTTAAAACTCACCATGGCTTTCTGTTTTTTCCCTAAGTGTATTAAAGCCAAATTCTTCCAGGTCCCTGGAATATGTCATCTGCCTCCTACCAGTGTGGCCTCATCTTTCAAGATTGGGCCTTAGCTCTTCTAACTTAGCCTTCATGTCATCAGTTGAATATATCTTGTGCCTTCCGTAATTTAGGATTCTCTCCCTGCTTTTTCATTCTTACATGCCTGTTATTTTAAGACTTAGGAATCTTTTCCAGAGAAATTCTTCCTAAATTTCTTGTCCCCGTGTTAGGCTCTTTCTGGTGACAAGGAATGGAAACAAATCAAGGTGATATCATTTAAAGGGGATTTATTATTAGGAGGCCATATAACCTCCGTGACTGAAAGTGATCTCAACAGCTTCTCCACTGCTATTCTGGACCCATAGGAGCTCAGGTTGTACGTAGCTGCAGTTTTGTTAGACCAGTAGAGTGATCACTTCATCTTTGTCATCTTTCTGGTTGACAGTCCCTCTTCACCAACTGCCATTCTCAGCCTCTGCTCTTCTGGGCTGTCTTTCTTGTGAGGCATAGCCATCTGTGAGTGACGAAGCTCTTAACACAGCTCATCTTGTTAATCCGTTTGGAACTCAGTCCCTTTGGGACTTAGCTTTTTTCACTTGATGTGCATGTCCGTTTTCATTCACCTTTATGGAATCGCAATCGTGTTCTTTTTACTTTTTCACTTCTGCTTTTAGCTTGATGAGGGCAACTTCCATTTCTTATATCCCTTACAACAGTTAATGGTACATTTAGTTCAGTAAAAATTTCAGTGAGTTACTGATAAATAGACTCTCTCAGCGTGGAATTTTGTTTAAGTCATAGTTTTGGTTTAATGTTAAATATTGCCACTGACATCGAAACTCCCACAGATTAACAAGAAGGTTAAGGTCAAAGAGCAAGGGTGATGCTGGGTCTGGTTGGGTGATGGTAGTCAGGGAAGATGACTTCAGAGTTGACAGTTTGGATTCCATTCCCTGTTCTGCTCTTACATGTGTAACCATGGGTATATATTTTACCTTTCTAGAATTCAGATTCTTGAGTTGTAAAATGAGAATACTAATGGTACCTCATAGGATGGCGAGGATTAAATATAATGTGTGATAAGCATAGTGTCTGACACACAATAAATGTTTATGTGCAGTGTTGGACAGGTTGGGGGTGAGAGAGCCCTTAGGAATTTTTTTCTTAAGGTGATATGACTTAAAAAATGTTTGCAAAGATGTGTTTAAGGAATTAAATAGATAGTATTTTGATTTTTTATTCTGGAAAATTTCTGACATACTGATGTAAAAAAATACTAGAAAAAGAACAGTTGATTTTGTGGGTTATCACAGTTGGCTGAGTGCTGGATCACTGGAGTGGCCTCTGTCTTGTTTTAGAGCATTCAGTTCTGAGTGCGGTTTATTTTCTAAGAGCCCTAAGATGGTGAGTAGGGCATCTTCTTCATGAACTGTAATATACCTATAGTGTGGTTGTGGAATACTAAATTTGAGACCTAGAAGAAAAGTTAACGATCTGGTTCATCCTTTTCAGGAAGATTTGTCATATGGACAGATGATTGATTGACTATTTGTCCTGAAGATGCTGGGAGATAACTAACTCTTGAAAATGGTTTCTTCCTGTGTCCTAGAGTCCTGACAGTTAGGTGTGTGTTCCCGCCCCCCCTCCCCCGTTTAGTTAAGAAAGGTTTCTGCTGTAAATTCTGTCCATTTCTTTTCAGTTGACCTTTCTTAGAAAAATAAGTGATATTATGTGAAGTTCAGAAACACTTACTGAGTGTCTGGTCTGCTAAACAGGTTCAGAGGTGAGAGTCTCTGCTCTTCATATCAGAACTTTTATATCACATAATAAAATGAGTTGGGTTAAGTTGGATTTTTGGAGGGAAAAGTACATTATTGTGTCCTAAAGTATCTTAAAAAGACAGCTGTCTGCCCCCTTAGCTGCCTTTTTCTTTAGGTTTCAGAGCTTAATTTTCTTTTGTTTATTTTTCTTAGACAAATAGATTTTTCTCCTTCTAGTTATCAATTTGTGGAAAAATACATTAGTTGAAGCTGATCTAAAGTTTTCTTTTTAACAATGTTGATTCTAACTTGGATCGTGATTGAGAGAGATGGCGACATAGGTAAAACCAGACAGAATTTGTGCTTACTTTGTATTCTGGAGGCTCTGCTGGTTAAAGAAAGGTTGAAAACTATTGCTGTGGATGATCTTGGGCTTTCTTCTCAGGAATCCATCCAGATTTCTCTACAGTTTTCCTTGGCATACTGACCAGAACTAAATATAGCATGGTCACGAGGGATTGATTAATTCAATATAGAATGAATAGATTTCTATGTCTGTGTTCCACATCCTGTTGCCTTTAACACATCTTAGTATTGTGCTGAATGTTTTCATATGGGACTATATGGGTAATTGTTACGTGTTGCTTGTGATCAGTTCTTTTTCTTGTATATTTATGGCTTGTCAAAAACGTGTTGAATTTAAATGTCATAATCTTTGGGAAGCATTTTGTATTTCATCATACTTTAAATTTTATCCTTTCTTTCACTAGCAACCCCACGTGATAAATTCACCATATGGATTTTTTGATGAGTATACATTTAATTTTTCTTTTCTGACTTGTCACTAAAGATTCTAATCTGGTGTATTGAATACCACTTCCAGCCTTTTCTGGCTGATTCCATATTGTTTCAATCATCGTACCATTTAACTAAAAGTGGTGTGGTCTATCCCTGACCACATGGTGTTTTTTTTTATTTTTAGTGAAATTGTTTTTTGGAGTAGAATTAAAATCATTTCTTTAAGATAGTATAGCTGTTAATTCCTCTTTGTTTTTTAAGCCTAATTTTCTCTCCTGTTATTTACTGGAATTAAAATTACATATCATTTGCTAATGCCTTACCAAATTAATCTGTTGAACAGTTAAATTATAGATTAAGACAAAATGGAGTTATAATGATTCGTAACGAAATTTTGCTAATAGCATTTGACTTTTATTTTCATATTACATACCTAAACTTTGGAAGATTCTCCCTTTTAAGCAAAAAAGCACATAACTAATAAACCACATGTTGGAAGTTTCTTGAGCTCTCTTTGGCTAGTAGAGTATAATAAATTTGGAACTTTCTGTCCAGTTTATTTTCTTGAAATGTAAAGTATCATACAGTTGCCAATATAAAATATGAGTACAGAGTGTTTCTGAGAATGTGATGTTCCCTCCTGGAGTATGTGGAAACTTCTTTTCTTTTCCTTCCAGAGTAGCCCAGAAGAGGGAAGATGCTGTTTCCAAAGAAGTGACTCGAAAACTTTCTGAAGCTGATAATAGAAAGATGTCTCGGAAGGAAAAAGATGAAAGGTTTGATTCCTTATTTAAAGTGTTTGTTGGTAATCACAAAAGGGGATACCTTGTGGAAAATAAGTTTCTGATTTCTCCTTAGAGAATGTAGGTAGGTATTGGAAATGTCTGAAGCAAACATTGGTATCATAGAAGACAATAATGGGAATAATTGACTTTTTGAGTTTTATTACTACCAGATACTTTTTGGTGTGCTGTACACAGTTCATTTATTTCTCTAAAGAGCCCTAAGAGGTAGGTACAGGAAACTGAGATAGAGAAAGCTTGGGTAACTTGCCCAAAGCCGTGGATTAGTGTGTGTTAAAGCCATGATAAGAACATAGGCAGTCTGGCTTGAGAACTTGGTTTGAGAGCTTATGCTCATAACTGTTCTGCTACAGAGCTTTGTCCAGTGCTGGCTCTGCCACTTGATAGCTGTGTGATTTTGAATGTATCACCTAACCCCTCTGAGTCTGAAGCGTTTACATTGGGTTGTATGTTAGCATTTTTAGATGGTGGTATTTCTTTCCTGAGCCTCCCTGTGGACATCCAGTCTGGGTTATTTGCTTTGGTTGGGAAAAAGAAAACTCAGTTTGTTTCCTGTTGCCCAATCCTGTGCCACATTTGTTGGCCCTACCCCCACCCCAGTTTTTCCTGTTAGCTCCTCTTAGAAGGCTTAATTAAGAGTCTAACATCTGAGTAGCAGAAGTCTCTGAATGATTGAGTAAACTTGTGCTTAAGAGTTGCCAGATGGTTGAATAGAGTTGATGAGTTGAAGTTGTTTTCATGGATCTTAAGTTTCAATATCTACAAAGTGATTTGTGAAATGGAATTTTTATCTTACTTTGCTCTAAAAAGACATTGTGGGAACTTGCAATATTAAAGTGGGTATAAAACAAAGCAATACAATTTTAAAAGATCAGAAACCATTTAAAAATAAGAAAAGGTAGTTGAATAAGGACCTCAGAGTTAGTTACACCAGTTGAGCACTAAACTTAACTCAGCTTCCAAGTGTCAGGGGAAACATCTGAGGTCATACAGCTTTCAGTGCCCAATGAGAAGCAGCACGCAAGTCCTTCTGAAAAGAAACTTTCCTGGCACTGGACCTTGGAAATGGACCTTATCAAATGGTTTCTTATTTAAGGGACACTGAGTAACTTAATGAACAATGTCTTTTACAGTGGTTTTGGAAAGGCACCAAAACATTGAAATGGTTATCTCTCATGGATCTTTTGTAAAACTGAAGGCACAATATTAAAATCTTGACAAGTCCTTTTTTCAGGGAACAGCTTTAATGAGTTGTGGCTACATAGCTTTCTGATTGCAAATTTTTGTATAGGGACAGAGGTTAGAGAATCTAGAATACTTTTTAAAAATGCATCTTAGAATAGCAGTTCTTAAACTGGAGTGCACATCATAGTTACCCAGTTTCAAAAGCTCCTGTAGGGTTTAGGCAATTAATTACATTAGAGAAATAAGTGGGTCTTATACATCTGCCCACTGCAGACTTGCCTGATTTGATCTGGTAGTTGTTCTTGATCCTGAGATGTCTCTCAGAATCTTGCATGGTATTCAGGTTGTCAGTACTAATGGATCACAGTGGGAATTGGAAATGAACCAGATATTTAAAAGTAGGATGAAGTGGAGGTTTTATTGATAACGTAAAATACATGGTGTCAGAAGATTATAAAATTTCTTTTTTTGTCATCAGTAGAAATTTATACTGTTAGTATTTCTCTCACAAAAGCCACACTGGATGCAGTTGTACCCAGGTTTGTACTCATGATTGACCCTGATAACGGACTAAGACCCCTGTTATGATCTAATAGTTTTCTCCTTCAAAGGATAAATTGCTTCCAAAAGATTTGATTTAAGAGAAGGCTTATCAGCACCTCTTTGTCTAGATGTGTATCTATCAAAGCTCCATTTACAATCATTTAGAATATATGCTCCATGCCACTTTGAAACTGCTTTGCTGTCCATCCAAGGATGGAAATTAGCAGAGAAGAATCAGAAATTTATTAACATCTGTCCCAGGGTGTGAGTGTTATTTCTTCTTGATTTACCAATGCTCTGTCATTTAGCATTATCTGATTGTAACAGTTGTTGAGTGTGGTCTCAACTTTTTTTGTTGTAGGAAGTGCTCCTTGGAAAAATGACTCCTTGCTTGGGAAGTGTTTTCCCAAACTAGATGGCCTGCCCGTGGAGCTTTGGGAGAACTATTGCCGATGAGGCCGCTTGGGGTCCTAAATTTTTTCATGAACTAGAGTACGAGTGGACTAGAAAAAGTTATAAAAGCTGTCTGTTCCAACTGTCCACATACTCATATTAGGAGCTGGGATAACCTGAAGGGTTGAGATAATTCTTTCATGAAAACTGTTTTGAAGATGTTTCTGATTCAGGGCATGACAGGTGTTAGGGAGAAATGCTGTGATGGAGGTTGTATAATTTAATCATCCAACATTTGTTGACTATAACGTGGCAATTTCCAATGACTTAGCCATAGTGCTGTCCTTAGGGTTGGTGGAGGGTATCTGCTGACCCCAGAGTATTATCTTTTGGGGGTCAAAGCATCAATGGCAGTGGCTTTCAACCTTTTTGATAGTGACCCACAGTAAAAAAAATATATATGTATATATATATTTTACTTTTTGACCAAATATACTCATACTTACACAAATGCAAATGTTTCACAAAACAGTAATTACCCTGCTGTGTGTGGTGCATGTGATATTTTTCTGTTCTTTCTTATTGTAATTTTTCTTTTTAAATGCTGGTCTTAACCCACTATTATTTTCCCTGAGCATTGGATCTACTCAGTTGATTTTTATATCTCACTAATGGATCACAACCTACCCTTTTAAAAACTGCTTTACAAAGTTAATTAACCAAGAGAAAGAAAGGCTTCCTTATTCATAGGCACCCTGGAACTTCCTGTTGCCTGTGTGAAGAGGTAAGAGAGGAGGTTGATAAAATACTACTAAATTAATAAAATAGTATAATGGGTCCAGTGGATTAAATAAGAAGTAAATGGATTTTACAAAAGTTAAATCCTAATGATCAAGTAAATTCTTCGCTTGAATTAAGTGAAGATGGCTAAAATAGTCACAAACAGGTCTGCTTTTGTGAGACCACAGCTAGCTTTTGCCTTTGAGATTGTCTTCTCTTAAAGTATAATTAATATTGAAGGCTGTAATCTGTAGGCTGGAAAGGGTCTCAAGCCAGCAAACAGCCAAGGAAGTTCTATGAGGCTGCTGATTGTCGAGTTTTTTTAGGTGAGGACCTAGAGAAAGATATCTGTTTGGGCTACTGATGAAACCAAGCCAATTGCAATTAGTCACTCCCTCCAAAGCCCTGACTGCCTGTGGAAAAAGGTAACATACCCAGCAACTTTTTTTCAGCATCAATAGAGTGAAATATCTTTTTCAGCATTAAAAATGGGACAGTGCCAACTAAATTTAATATTAAAAACATTCTGCCCAGAACACTAAAGGAAAAACTTACCTTACAATGAACTAGAGCCATGTGGTATTAAAATTTTTTTAATACATATTTATAAACTCGATTGATTTGTTTCCACGTCTACAGAATCTTGTGGAAGAAAAATGAAGTTGCTGATTATGAAGCTACAACATTTTCCATCTTCTATAACAACACCCTATTTCTCGTCTTGGTCATTGTTGCGTCCTTTTTTATATTGAAGAACTTCAACCCCACAGTGTATCCTTTTAAAGGTCAATTGTGTGTGTGTCTGTGTTTTGATTGTTTTTAAGAAGTCTAGAAACAGTAGTTTGTTTTGGTTTTGTATGGGGAGTCAGTCTGTTAAACAACTCTGTGACCTTAGGCAAGTTTGTGGACATTTAAAGTAAGGGCTTTTGTTTTGATTTTAAAGTTCTTTTAAATTTATAAATACGACTTTGTGATACGTAACAAGCAGTCTTACATATGTGATTATACTTGCCTATTTTTAAAAAATTTCAAGGAGCGAAAGCAAACTCCTTCTTTGATAGCTCTTGGCGCAAGCCATGTGTCTGCTGGTATTTTGGGGCTTTGGGATTGTGTGGATAGCCAGTGTAGTTCAATAGGCACATTTCATAATATCTTAGTGTTTCAGACTGCTCTTCGATTGAGCTTTTGGGCAAGAATCAATCTTCTCTTTTCAAGGTAATTTACTAATGAAAGTGTCCTTCAAGGATGTGTAGCCAACTTTTTAACAGTTGGAGATTTTGATGTAATAAAATATTAACTTGTACCTCTGGGAACACAGGAGTGGTTTGCCCCAATCAGTCTAGTCCTGAGGCCGAGAGTAGCTGTGAACTTTCAGAACGTCCCTACTTTTAAAGGCCAGCTGTAGTCAAAACCTTGATGGACTGGGGGAAAAAGGAAAACAAGTCTCTTCTTCCTCCCCATATTCTTTGATCAACTCTTCTCCTGAAAGTTAAATGGAATTCAGATGTTTTTGTGATTCTGTGTTCTAGGTTTCTTGTCTCAAGTGTTTTCTTAAAATTGGAACATATTTCCTGTGAATGTTCTTTATTCTTTATAGTTTTCTGTCTTGTAAATTGTGTTTGAAGACAATGGGACTGCATATCATTGTCATTACACGGAGTGTCAGGAGGAAAATGGTACCTTCCAAAGAGATGGGCTCTTATGTTGAAAAACTAATTTTCAGTTCTTAATTTTTCCTTAACATCTAATTCTTACAGGAACTATATTCTGTCCATAAGTGCTTCATCAGGTCTCATCGCTCTCCTGTCTACTGGCTCCAAGTAGACCACGTCAGCTTCGCCCCTGGCTTTGTATCTATGGGTGGCCTGTGGTATATGAAAAAGTAGCAGGGTGGTCAGGGTGGGAGACACATGAGATGTTTTTATAGTCTGGAGGTTGAGGGTTTGAAAAGCCCAACAAAATATAATTCAATATTTGTTTATTGGCTCTTTTTTTTGAAAGACTGTTGAAATTAAATGAATTGAAAGGGAAACTCAGAGTACCAGGACATTTATTAATTAAAAGGCCCAAAGTGTCTCGCAATGTGCTATAATCACAAGAGGAGAAAATAACTTGTTTCCTTGATTTGTCAGAGGTCACAGTAACCTGGACTGAACTGTTATTATTTATAATAGTAGCAAGAAGTAAATAAGTGGTTCTTTGTGTTCCAAGTACAATATTATAACTTTTTTTGAACCTCAAAATACCAGAATGAAGAATTGAACGTCATGTTTATAAGTCTCTGAGTTTGTGATTTGAAATAACTCAGCATTAAAAACATTGCTTCTCCAACTTGGGGAAGAGAAACTTGTGGAAAAGTACTTTTTAAAAAAAAGAGAAAAGAAAGGCAGCCAAGGTAATAACCTAAAAATAGTGCCCAGGCATTTGAAAGTTGTCCTGTGGGGTTCAAGCACACACTGTTCAACTGTACAGCTTTGGCCTCGGGCAGCCAGGGAGGCCAATTTGACCCTCCCATGTTGGTTTGACTTTTGTTAAGAGACTGGAATCATTGTTTTCTTTGAGTAGGGTCTCACACCATTGGAGAATATTCTGTGAGAGAGAGAACCTCTGTCCTAAATATTGACTTGTAAAAGACCAAAGTAATTTTTGTGACCTTAGTTCCAAAATTCTAAGAACACTCCACGGAATTACAGTGATTTTAGTGCTTGTCAGCATTTTTCCCTTAGGACTTTCATAAATTTGACCCTTTAGTCCATAGGTTCCCATCGATTGTGAATAAAATATTGATCTCTGGCCCTTGGGGGTCTAGCCAAGAGCAGTCTCTTGCCATTTTTAACCAGTGTGTATACAGATATTGTCATTTTCTGTGTGTGTGCCATGATTTGAAAAAATTTGAGAAGCTCTTCTTGAACCATTATCACTTAAAAGGTTATGGAATCCCAGGTGATAGTGGTTTCATGTTTCTTTTCTTTTGACCACATCTAGTCATTTCTTAGAAGCAGTACCTCAAAGGAAATATTATTTCTAATTCCTAATCTTAACTTTAATCTTTAATTTCCACTTCTAAATTTAAAGCGTATGTTGCAAATAATACTTGCTATTTTATTTATAACTTTATAGTAAGGTATTCCTGAGTTCTTTTTTTATTTCCATTCTGTTGGATGTTTTGGTAGGCAACCTCCAAGAACTTGGAAAGAAGACAGGAGTACATTTGCATAGTGACCCAGATCCTCATTGTCTTCAGTTGAGGATTATATTTCATCATTGCTTCTAGAAGTTTGAAACTCTTTACTTTTATTTGCTGCATTATTAGTCATCGCTGGATAATATGGAGTGAGTTGGAAGTCAGAAGAGATTCACTGCAAAGTAGTTAGTGTAACACATAACAATTTTATTTTTATGTTTTAATACCCCCTGCCAGTTGATAAATAACTAGTCTGTAGTTTGTCTAGTGGTGTGGAGTTTGTATACCAAATGCATTTCTTTGTTTGACAGAAAGACTATTTTGACAAACCATCAGCGTCTATTTGTTTCCAGACCTGGGCCAAGTATCTTTTTAAATTGCAGGTAAAAAATTGCCACTAGATGGCAGTACCTGTATAGATGGAGGAAAAATTGCCACCATTCTTAGTAAAATACAATGTAGCCGAAATGGGGTGGCGAATTAGGGGTTTCAGTTTATTAATCTTAAGAGAATATTTCTTGAATTAATAAACTAAATAATTTGTAGAAAAGCAAGCAAGCAAAATTTGATTTTGATTCTGAATCTTTCCTATCACACTCTTTGTTTTTAATCCTGATGTTTTCTGATTTCCTGTACTGTTAAATTTTTGTGCATAAGTTTATAAGGCATGTTCTCACAGTTCCACAGTTTTCATTCAGGATACCAGTACTTTACTCTTGGGAATTGCAGAACCTTTTCCCAGCTCCTCTCCCCATCTCATAAAATGGCTACATGGCACATAGAATTATGATGTACTGAATCTGGTTTAGTTATTAAAAACTTGCTATAGAATTTTTATCTCAAAAGACCACATCCAACACCAGTAAAATAAAGTGTTCCGTTATCAGATTCAAAGTGATTCCTTTTTTCACACTCCTTGTGATAAGTAGAGGCTTAAAGTGTCGGAACAGTTTACATTTTCCTATTTTTAGTTTTCTCTTGTACAACTTAATAAAAACTTTGGGTTAAAATTATTCTTAGTAAAAATTTACTGGTTATACTACTTACATATTATTCTACCTTGGAAAGTATAATTTGAAATAAGTTTTGAAGTTAACTGAAATATGGAGGTTAGATTCATATTTAAAATTCTTGTGAAAGGCCTTGCTTCTTATCATTAAACTTTGCTTTTTAAAATTTATGTTTTCCCTAGACTTACTTATAAGAATCATGTGAATAAATACATCATCTTTATTACATTATTTCAGATTCCACATCATTTTAATTCCTCACACATGTAAATGTGCATTTTTATAGTTACTGATCAAATATTTGTGTGGCAATAACTGGCGTAGTACAGTTATATTACAGAGCAGAATGTCAGGCCTCTTTGCCTTCATGTGCCTGCTGTGCTTTCCTGCCCATCCTGTTTCTGTGTTTTCAGTATGCATACCAGTTACTGCTGTTAATGGAGACACGAAGGATATACATAGGCATGTATGTATAGAGAGAGAACCAACCTACAGATACATGTATTTGGGCTGGAAGGGGTGGGGTTATCACCCACCAGCAGGGGACTTAATTGAAGATTAGGAGGGGTTTTTAAGTGGTTGGTTTCGATTTTCATGGAGGTGGTTAGAGACTAACTTCTCATTGGGCCTTCATGAGTTTTGATTGCATCTCTTTGAGCTTTTCCTCTTAGCTGATTTCAAATTTGGATTCTTACCCAAGCTTTTTTAACTTAAAATTTCACACAGTTACTTTTTTATAAAACTTTAAAGCTAAAAAAAGGAAATTGTACTTAAAAGAGCATTGAACAAAATACTTGGGTTCTAGGCCTGGTTCTGCCACCAGCTGGCAGTGTGAGTGTGGGCGAGTCCTTTCATCTCTCCAGGCCTGGTTTCCTCATTTACGGAGGAGGGATGGTCTTGAAGATGGCTGAGGTCCGTGGAAGCTCTGCTGTCTTTCTGATGACCCTTGGCACACTGTTAATGGAGATGCAGTGACAGTTCTTAAAGTGGGAAGCCAGGCACAGGGTTTCTAGTGTTCATTTCCCCTGGCTGAGATTACAGTATGTGGATGGCCGCTACCCAGGTTACTCTTAGGAATGGTATGTTCTCTCCCAAGGAGTTCTTTCCAGAAAAGAAAATGAGTGCATGGAAAGTTTTCTTAAGCATATAATTATGAAATGTATTTCATATTTAGTATATCTGCCGTAGCAGCTGATGATTTGTATATTAAAAAGCTAACTGTTCCTACAGCTGAACAATACTATTTGTATTTAATTTACAGGCTCTTTCAAATGCTTTTGAGAAGCTTTAACCTTAGTGCAGAGTGTTTCTAAAACCCAATGGGAAATGATATCTTTAATAGCTAATCATTTACTCCATCGATAAGGAAAAAAGTTTGAATTGCAGTTTAAATCTGGATCACCGCTGTTTCTGTTTAGATATTCAGTGCAGCTTACTTGCCAACATAATTTTTATTTAAATGAGTCTTACTGCCTGTTTTATGGTGATATATATGTATATATTTTTTGCCTTACAGTGAAAGATCAGATAAAAACATTGTGAGATTAAATGCACAAAATGCTTTTATTACTCTAAGCAAATTAATAAGCTAAATTGTAGTTCCAAGTAGACAACTTCAGCTCATTTATACACACAGTAATTCACTGGATTGATTGAATATACAATGAACAACTAAAAAATAATCTCATTTCCATTGTCAATCTGATACTTTTGGGCAAAAACCCCAAACTGTTTCCCTAATTGAATATGGGTAGTAGTAATCAAAAACAAAAATTGTTGGTATTTCACATTAACATTTTAAGGTTTAGAACTTAACCATGAAATATATAACTGGAAATGATGACAAAATAACATTTAAAGTTGATAATATATTCTGTAATTCTCCAAGCAATTTCTATATGAGGGACCTGCTGGCTAGAAAATGAAAATTTGTACATGCTCAGGTGTCCAAATAGAGTTATAGGACCCCTGCCCGCAACATACACCCCCAAAAAGAAAAAAAATGTTTTCTCCTTTACAAGTATACAATATGTTCTCATAATTTTACTCAAGTGGAATACTCATGAGGGTAGGTAGCCAGTAGTGGCTGGGCTAGATAGATCTCAGCTTCTGAGTGCACTAAAGCTAGGCCCCTTTAATCCATGCGGTGAGCTTTCATGCGAATAGTTCAGTGCACATAATGTGATTATAGAATCAGGAAGTTCTTTAACATTTGCTTTTCGTTGGACAAGTTAAGTCACCCAGCATATGCTGAGTTGTGAAAAATTTCATGAAGCCCATGACTTTCATGTAATAACTTCTCAAAAACACCAAGCATTGTATTGTAAAATCCCAGTGCTAATTAAAGAGCAAACATTTGCCTTTCTGGGTATTTTACAGGTTTACTTATAAGAACTGAGCATGTGTATATTTATTTTAAAAGCTCAAATATTTAAACTTGCAGAAGCTGTGCCTACAAGCAGTCAAAAATATAAAGCAGGTTTTCATAAAATGTCAAAAATGAACACTTCATTGCAGATGCAATACATTTTATTCAAAACTAAGCCTCCATAGCAATGTAATCTGCCCTTTTGTAAATTACCATATTATCTCTAGTTAAAGACTGGGGTGTTCATCCTTTTACCATCTCTACATGTACATGGACATAGCATTATTAGAATCCTAATAGACACCTTGGATAAATTGCTATACAGGGTCATTCTTGGAGCCAAGCAACGGAATATTTAAAAGGTTACAGAAGCAAATACTCAGGAATTTTAGTTTTGTTGAATAAGTGAAACAACTCTTGCTAACAGAGATGTGAAAATAGAAAAAAATGTGAAATTATTTCTGCTTATTCTCCCAAGCAAGACTTCTGAGTGAACATAGCCTGCTCCTGATGCAATCCACATTGCATCTGTGGAGTTTTTTCATTTGAAAAAATATATCTGTATAGCTTTCTTTGTTACTAAATGCCTGAAGGTAATGTGTCTTTCCCCCAGTATACTTTCCATTGCATTAGCGTGATGTGTGCAGGGCAAAGCAAGAATAGGCAACTCCAGTCCAAGATAAGAAAATAGAATGGATTTTCTTAGTCGTGAGTTTTCAGATGTGCTCGTAATTCAGGTGCACAGTGGTAGCGACAGCAGACACCTCAGAATCCGGGGGCACTAGAGGTTGAGCAGTAGGCTGCTAAGTGATTTAAAAGACTGGCTAGTAACACCATTCTGTACCGGTATAGACCGATAATTTAACCATGCAGCTACTGTGGCTCATGCATTGCCTTATGATCTGTAGTCCTTTTTGCTGTAGGGCTTGTTGCGTAATATGTTATCAATCTCATTTACCACGTGTGTTGTCATCTTTGGGAGAACCTGAGAGCATGAGAAGTACAAAGAATGTGGTTAGTACTTAATAGTTGTTCTTTGTGCTCAAAGCCATCTAGACTGGTATACGTTTATAAACCACACTGGAATATAAGCTCTTCACCATACCGTCAACTCTTTGAGGTCAAGGACCTTGTTTTGTTCACCACTGTATCTCCAGTGCCTGTAAGAGTGCTTGGCCCATAATTGGTGCTCATAATTATTGGCTGACTGAATAAATGAAGGCATAAAGTACAAACGAAGGCTCATAGAAATACGGAATATCCAGAGCAGCTCTGCCCAGGAAGAAACACAATGAGAGCCACATAATATAATTTTAGATTTTCTAGTGGCCGCATTAATAAAAGTGAAAAGAAACAGGTGAATTTAGTACACATTTTTACTCCATCATACCCCAAACATCATATCAGCATGTGGTCAGTAGAGAAGATTCTTAAGATGCTTTACATTTTTTTAAATACTAAGTCAAATCCAGTATATAATTTAGGCCTTTTGCACTTAACAGCACATATGCATTTAAACTAGCTACCTCGCTTGGTACTAAGTCAAATCCAGTATACCTTTTGCACTTACAGCACATATGCATTTAAACTAGCTACCTCGCTTGCGCTCAGCCACATGTGGCTAAAGGCTACCGTAGTGAACAGCACAGGTGTAGAGACTAGTGAGAGCCTTTACCACTGGTGGTCAAAACTCTGGTGAAGGATGTCCAGGAGTTAATGGGCATCTCAGGTAGATGGGATAGCATGAAAAAGTGAAAAGTCTGAAATGGAGTGATAAAAGTGTGAAGTGAGTGGTGGAAGTGTGGGAATGGTAGGCATAGGGGAAAGAGAAGTTGGAGTAAAGAATGTGGAAGGCCTTGAATGCCAGGTTTTGGAGTTGGGACTTTATTCTGTAGACAATGGGGGACCTCTCAGGACTCCTCAACTGGGAGCGAACCTATCAGACACCTGGTGGTAGTTTGAAGGATGACTGGGAGGAGATTGAAAGGGGACACATATTAGAAATTTATTGCTGCCCTAGCCGGAGACACTAAGAGCTTTAACTAGGACAGGGGCAGTGGAGTAGGAAAGGAGCGTGGACTCGGGAGACATTTTGGAGGATGATGGTGATTTCAAGACTGTGTGACTAGAAGGATACTGATGTAGATTGTTGAGATTGGAATCCACAGGAGGAGTAGTTTGGAGTATAATTTTGGAATAGGATGTGTTGAGTTTAAGATGCCTATGAGATATCCATGTGAGAATAACTTGTAGGCAACAGGAAGTGCAGCTGTGGAACTTGCTAGTAGCAGGAGGATGAGTTGAATATTTGCAAGTCATTTGCACGGATATGCTAATTGAAGCCCTGGGAAAGGATGAGATCATTTAGGGCTAGCATTTATTGCAAGGCTGGCGGCCAAGGGCACGTATTACACCATAAGACGAGGGACAAAGCCAGACTTTTTTGCAGGAATAGTCTGACCCTGTGTGGAGACTGCGGTGAAATACAATTATGACGACCAATTCTGAGGTTTCAGCCGCACCCTTCCTCTGCTGCAATCGTGCTGCCTGGGGTGACTTTGTCTCCACTCAAGTGCTAGCCTCAGAAACCTTAGGGTTTGGCAGAACAGTAGAGCTACTCAGCCTGGGAAACTGGTTCTGGTTAATGTTTTCCTATCCGAAGCTAAAGGGACAGTTTGATTTCCCACCAGTTCTGAAGTCTCAGAGGATCTAAACTAATGTGTCATTTAAAAGGAGATTGCAACCATGAGATCCAAATCTAGAAACTGGATTTGTTGGAAGTTTTGTGTCCAAAATATAGTGGGTTAGCCATTTGAGGAAAAAAAAGTTCATTCATTACACCAAAATAAATTTCAGAGATTTAAACATTTTAAAAAATGAAACCATAAAAATACTTGAACATGAAAAAAAAAAATAGATATATATATAGTGTCACAAGGCCTAAATTATGAAGAGAAGCCATACTTTCAGCATTTTATGTGAAACTGCCTAATTTTTTTTAAATGTTGACAACTATTTTAAAACATTTTCATCTACTACAGATACATAGACATCCCACCGGCTACCAGTTTTGCAACCTTGGCATTACACTGGCTGGAATAATTGGTGGGTAAGGGGTGGTCTGGCTAGTGTTGCTGGGGGCTGGTAGGGGATTAGGGAAGTCCTCCCAGGGTTGGGCCACTGTTGAGTTGGACCTTGGGGATGGAGCAAGATTTTGGCAGCTGGGGTGGTGGACACTGCAGGCAGAGGACCACTCTTATTTCTGGGGATCTGAGTGGTTCGTGGGGGCTGAAGATTAAGATTCTGGGATGTGAGCCCTGGATGTGAAGGGCCTGACTGATCTGAGTAGGCGATGGGGGCCTCAGAAGGGTTTTAAGGCTTGTGGAGTAGAGAGGGAGAGGCAGTCAGTTCTCTCCACTTTTTACATGGAAGTGGGGAGGATGGCGGGCTGCCTGCAGCTGTGGTTTCTCCTCTCCAGTCTCCCCCAAACTACTGAGGTTCTGGTTTATATTTGCCCCTCCAGTTTATGCACACATTAGGCACATTTCATCCCTAGGAGCAGCTGCCTTGCTGTGCCCACTAGAAATGTCTCCTTTCAACTGCTGTCACTGCAGCTTTCTATCCTTACCCAATCCCAGCACTGCCGGGAACCCCCAGCCTCCCAGCTTACTTTCCTGCATTGAGGGGCCCAGTCATAGCTTCCTAGGGTAGATTCTTAGGTGCTGGGCTTGCGGGAGGTGGGAGTAGGAAGGAGGTATGGATGGTAAGCGCCCACAGTGGCGGCTGCTCTGCTTTCTCTTACCCTTTGACATGGAGACCTCGTTTTGCTACCAGCCAGAGTTTTGCTGGGGAGGAGATGCTTTGGGAAGATGACTGACTCAGTTTTCCTCTGAAATACACTCTCAGCTACCCGGAGTACTTCTACAGCCCAGGAATAGCACCTCGACCATCCCAGGCATATTGACTGCCCCTAAGATGGCAGTGCACACTCCGTATTAACACGATAGGAGTCCTCAGTTCCTCCCTCTTCTCACCAAGCTGTCAGCAAATCCCACCTCTAGTTCCAAAACCTGCAGAATACATCCACTTCACCTCCATGGTTATTGTCCCACCTAGTCCAAGCCACCCTCACCTGTCACCTGGACACTCCCCTTGCCTTTCTTCATTCTACTTCCCACACAGCAGCCAGAGCAATCTTAAAAATTCAAACAACAGCATGTTCCTCCTCCTCTTAAAACGCTCCACAGGGTGTGGCACGCTGTAGGTTAGCAGTAAATATTTGTGGAAAGAACAAATGAATATGTGAGGTACATATATTGTCCTATGGCTATTATATTTCAAGCAGGTTATTAAACAGGCTTTTATGGTCAGGCCTGGGAACCCAGCCACCAGGTGTAACAAGGTGGAACATTGCTTGGGTCGTAGAATGACGTCCCACAGAAACAAACTGTCCTGAGAAATGAGCTTTGAGAACAAAGCCTGTTAATAAGAAGACACCCCTGGATCCACGCGCTATAACAGATCTGCTGCCTCTTGTGCCTTTGTCCCTTCTTCCCCTCCATCCTTCATCTTGGAGCAGGTAGCTCGTACTCTACATTAGAGGCTTTCATGCAACTGGGAAGCCGTGCCATGAGAAAGGACGCTGCCCAGGGACATCTTCAAAGACCGTGAATTTCCCTGGAGTTTTAGGATGGGCTACACTAGGGCCCTGGTACTTGCCTGAATGGCACCGAGGTTCTCAATGAGTTGTTCAGGAGTGGATGATCCCAGGAGCACAGAACTCACACCCTCATTTCTCAGGCACCATGCTAGGAAGAGAGAACACCGGGTCAGGATATCAAAGCTCTTCTGATTCTCGATGAGCTTATAAACACCACCATAGCTACCATTGTTGCCAAAATTTTCTAACTTTTTGCGAGGAGGATGGACTGTGCTCCAAGATGAAAAACCTCAGCAGCACCCCTGATGAGAGGATTTAGTGGAATCTGTGCATTTGAATTGTGGGCTTCCGTGCTCCTGTGCTTTTCCTACTTGAGGCCTTGCCCTAGTGACAGGGGCTTCCGGTCCAGCTACCCACCCCAGGAACACATTCTCGTTCCTGAGAACACCCGACAGTGCTCACCGGCAGACGTCTGGATTCCCATATCCACGTGGGCCCACAATTCCCTGTCTTGCCATCTTATTCATGCTCTCACTTTCCCTCATCTGTTACACAGAGCCCTTGTAGACTCTGAATGTCTGATTCCTTTGTTTCTACTTGTCAGCCCCCTTTGGACCTAACACAAGATTCATTGTGTTGATTATCACTCTCACCAATCCTCAAACCCCTCACTCCCCTCCTGCCTTCTGCCAGCTTCTACCCTTAAACCTTCTATCATCCCCTGTCCCTTGCTCTCAGCACATGACCTGGTCTCCGACTCTATGTAAACAGTTAAGACCATTGTGTGGGGTATACCTTAATTCCCTGTTCTCCCAATGGACACGAGTATACATCCACATCCCCCAGTTCCAGAGGCTGCCTTGTGCTGCTCTGCCTGAGGCCACACTATGTCCAGGATCTGTCTTGTCCTTTTATCTTTTCTTGAACTTGATTTATATTCTACCACCCCCCCACCCCCCGCCCCAGATTTTTTATTTAGTATTATCATCATCTTTGTTGTCAACATAATGAGCTCAAGTGTATCCCATCCTAAAATAAGCTTCCTTTGATCTTTCATACCTGCCTAGCAACTGTCCTACCCTTCACCCCCTTAACTTTTATTATTATTATTATTTATTATTATTATTTATGCCTATAGCACCTGGTCTTTCTAGGTGGTCTCCCGTCTAAGTACTAGCCAAGCCCTACCCTGCTTAGCTTCCGAGATCAGACATCGATCTTGTTCAAGGTGGCATGGCCAGAGACCATGGACCGTGGCTCCACTGGGGCGCGAACTCGGGACCTGCGTGTAAAGCAGACCTGCTAATTGCTCACTATGGAACCACGTCCACCCCTTCTTCAACTTCTGAAAGACCAGTTTAGATTCTTCCTCACCTCCCAGTCCCCTTCTTGCCATGTGAGAAACCAAGGTCTCCAGGGACCTCCCCGTGGTTACAGTAGATATCTCAGTTCGTAGCTGCCTGGAACTAGATGTTCTATAGGCTCATAGATGCAGTGTCTCCCTGCTAGGTGTCCCACAGGCCCTGCAAACTTCTTCCTATTTACGACTAAGCCTGTCCTGTGTTTCCAATCTCATTTGGTGGCATCATCAACAACTTGGCCTCCTGACCCAGAAACCTGGGACTTACACTTAGGGACTATCCTTTTCTGGTCCCACCTTCCCCTTAATTGCCAAATCTAGTTGAGTATCCCTCCTAAAATGTCTCTAATCCAGCAGTTCTCAAAGTTCAGCATGCATCAGGATCACTTAGGGCTTGGGAACCACCACTTATTGGGTGCCACTCTCAAACTTTCTGACTCAGAAGGTCCAGGTGATCCTGAGAATCTGCCTTTCTGACAAGCTCTCATGTGATGGTGATGCTGCTGATCCAGGGACCATGTTTGTTTGTTTTTAAACTGAGGCAAGATTTACATACCAAAAAAATTTTACCCATTTTAAGTGTACAATTTAATAATTTTTTTTGTAGATATATCAAACGTGTAACCATTACCACTTTAAACTCAGTTTCAGAACATTTCTGTCACCCCAGTAAGCTCTTCCATGCCCATTTACAGTTAATCCCATTCCCACGGCCAACTCCAGGAAACCACTCATCTACTTTGTGTCCTATAGATTTGTTGTTTCTGGACAGTTCATCTAAATAGAATCGTGTGATATGGGTCTGTTGTGTCTGCCTTCTTTCACTTAGCATATTGTGAGGTTCATCCATGTTATAGTGCGTATCAGTATATCATTTCTTTTTATTGCTGAGTAATATTTCATTGTGTGGATGTGGGGACCGCATTTGAGAATCGCTGCTCTGGTTCAGCTGTCTGCGTGCCTCCTTCAGGCCCTCATCATCTCTCCCCTGCTCTGCTCGTTGTCCTACCTCTTGTTTGGCTTGTGCCCCACCCCCACTCCTACCTAGCTTTCTCCAGATACAAATCTGATCATGTCACTTGCCTGGCTACATGTTCCTCGACACGTACCCTAGGTAACCATCGTCCTGTAAGATGAAGCTGTCATTTCCCACCCTGGCACACCTTGCTTTCGGGGCCACTCTCCAGCTTCTCCTCCTCCTCGCCTCGAGCTCTGTGCCTCGGGAGCACGGAACTGTGTAAATCCTCTCCATCCCCAAGCATCATGTTGTTTTTCTCCTCCTCGAGCCCTTGGCGCAAGCCGTCCCCTTGGTCTGGAATGTCCCTTTGCCTCCTCCCTTCCTTTGCCTCACTATCCACTTGTCGTTGGAGATTCCCCACGGAAACAGCCTTCTCCTGAAGTCCTTCCTCGAATCCCAGGCTGGTCTGGGTGCCCCTATGCCAGCTGAAATCTTCCCAATTATTTTACTACAACACTGTATTACAATGATCTGTTTATTTTTTTGACTTGCCCACCAGGCCGTGAGATGCGTTTTATTTGCAGTTGGATGCTCAGCACCCAGCTAAGTACCTGTACATAGTAAGCACTTAGTAAATGGTTGTTGAATAAACATAGGCATGAATGACTGGTGGATGGAAGAGGATCTAAGCACCTCTTCTGCCCCATTTGCTCAAGGCCCTGCTGTCAGCTAATACTCTTAGGCTGTTACCATGCTCAGGCCTTTTAAGGCAATCAGGCCTTTTAAGGCAATCTTTCCACATGGGCAAAATAATGCTTATAAAGGCAACGAGCCAAGTGATCCAGTTCTTTTGTTTTTTGTTTTGGCTGCATTATTTCCTGCTTGACACTTAGTGCCTCAAAACTGGCACTAGTGGAAGTTCTGAAGGCAAAGCAGGGCACAGGGAAAATTATTGCCCATAAACTACTTGTTATCAGCAATAGCCAATACCCCACTCTGGGCTGCAGGGTGTACGTAGGAGAACCCACAGAAGAGAACTAGGTAGCACCAGAGGTAACACATGCAATGATTCTAGATAATTAGCATCTCACCGAGTGTCACCAAGCAGACATTACTGAATGCCTCTCTACAAGCAAGGTGTGATGGATGGGAGCCAGCCCACAGCGGAGGACTTCACCTCCCCCACACCCTTCTAGCAGATCAAAGGGAATATGCCTGGAAATAATTTCCCTCTTGGTTTGAGAGGTCTGAGGTTAAAACAAAACTGCTTGTTTATAAAGAAAGAAAAAAATGACAGGCAAGATAGACATCTGAGGGCACAGAGGGAGGAAAAGGAGAAACAAAGCATGTTTTAATTTATTCTCAGACTCTGTAAAGAGGGTCTTTCATGTGTATCCAACATCCAGTGAATGGCTAAATCTGGTAAAGATTTCCTCTTTAGAAAGACAGTGTTCTATCTCTTTCAGAGTAAATTTATTAATACTTTCACATTACTACCTAAAAACTGTATTTATGACTTTGTTTCAAAAATAAGTGTTTCTCTTTGTGCCTATTACTCTGACCATCTGCCATGGCTAGGGGTAGACAGAATTTCAGGTCCAGGGTGTCTGATTCTTTGCAAAAACCTCACCATTCTCATCATCATTGTTACCCGAAAGCACCTACTCTTTGCTTACATATATTATTTCCCTTCACTCAACAAGTTAGATATGTATTATACCCATTTTACAGATGAGAAAATTGATAGCAGATTAAATAATTTGCTGATTTACTTGTATATTTAAATTGGTTAAATACTAATGCTTTTTTACTGTGCTCATTAAAGCTATAGGGATACTAACTAATCACATTAAATATCTTCTTTGATTTTTGTTTGCTTGTTTTCTGGAAGAAAAGATTAAAGCAACAATCATATATGTACTTAGGTAAATGATATTCCCTTTCCCTATACCCCAAACCACCTTCATTTCCATCTTTCCATGACTGTTAACTGCCACTCTTGTTTCCCTGCCTTTCAATCTCAGAAGGGTCAAGCAACTAAAATATTCTGTCACATTATTTTCTTTGCATAGAACTTGTCTTGAGCTTTTTATCTCATTAAGTTACTGTATCTGATTTGTTTCAATTCCTGCTATTTCTTAATTGTTAACATTTTTTTTTTCTGGAATCTATACCTGCTTTATTCTTTCCCCATAGCTACCACAGGAATACTTTTATCTTCAGTTTCTTCATTTGTAAAGTGGAGATAATAATAACGAATATTCTATTAACATCTGTAAGATAGGACTAGTAATAGTATACACCTCATTGGATTGTTTTGACAATTAAGGAGATAAGACAGTGGCATATCACAGAGGCTGGCAAATATCCCCTAGCAAGGGAAAAGTCTAAATGCTTTTCTGTCCAACACCCAGCCACTAGACACATGTGGCTGTTGAACACACGAGATGTGTTTAGCCTCAACTGAGATGTGCCTTAGGTGTTAATTACATTTTGGATTTTGAAGACTTAGTATGAAAAACAGTATAAAAGATCTCAATAATTTTTTAATGTTTATTACATGTTGAAATGATAATATTTTGGCTATATTGGGTTAAATAAAATCCGTTACTAAAATTAATTTTACCTATTTCCTTTTTACTTTTTGAATATGGCCACTAGAAAATTTATAATTAAATATGTGGTTCACATTATATTTCTGTTGGGCTGTTTTCAGTTGTTACCAGTGACCGTGACCTTTCATCAACTCCACAGTGTTAGTGGAGCAATTTTCATGCCTCCTCTGAAGTTCCAGGGTGAAGCTGCTCCTCTAGGACAGGCTTTTTATGTGGCGGTTGTCTTGGGCCTGTCACACAGCAATGCTTCTCAGCCTCTCACCCTGCCCTGCCTAAACTTCAACAGAGATGAAAAACTGAGCCAGAAGAAATGGATGTCCTCCACAGTTCAGAGGGCACTCACCCCTGATACTGTGAGGATGCCTGTGTTTTCACTCACGTGTTCTTGTTTAAACTGTGATGTAAGAGAGAGGGGGAGAAAATCAGAAAAGTGTTTTGGCACATAGAAATTTTTCGGGGGCTCTGAAAACCTCACTTCAGAAAGTCTTAATCAGGAGTTTATGCTCCAGAGATCCGTCTGCCCCTACAGTAGATATTTCATCATGATAGAGATGTGGATCAACCTTAGAAAGCTGTATTGTGTGTGTTCCAGCAGAGCCCCTCTCTAGTTATTGGCTTACCGACAGCTAGCTGAGGGAGCGTGCAGCCCAGACGCTCAGCAATTGGGGAGAGGTCTTTTAACTTGTTTTGCTGTTTTCTCCCTTCTTCACTCACGATTCTTTCCTTCAACCACTGGTAGCACTAGGAATAAGAACATTTAAATATTAATGTCTGGTAACGTCGAAGACAGTTCAATAAAATATAAGAACCTCGTAGTGAATTCCGGCATCTCCTCACCTCTGACCTTTATGTTTCATGGTGACAGGGATGCCTGTGCCTTCATGCAAAGAAATTGTTCCCCTTGGTCTCACTCCGTGTTTATTGGATCGAAATAGATTACGTTTAACTAATATTCACCACACAGACCCATCAGCATGCACAAAAGTCGTTAAAATCCTGACATTTTATTCAGCTATATCCAGTTTGCTAAGTGGAGGAAATGATGTTTCTTATTGCGATGGCCCCATTTTTAGAATGTAGCAAAAAGAAAAAAAATTATATCTCACCAAGGTCTATTATGTTTCCTTTTTGTTAAGAAAGCTGGGCGCCAGGCTCTCTGTTCAAAGAAAGCCATTATCTTACATTCTTGTTATAGTTGTAACTATCTTCCTCTTGCCTTCAATTTACTCCCAGTTTTGTATTCTTATGGTGCTTTATCATTAGCTTTCTCAGTTCTTTCCCGGAAGTAGATATGGTAGAACTGATAGGTAACAAGCACATTTTAAAATCTTAAGTGGATAAAGACTTTCCCAAATGCATATTACCTTTCCTATCATGAAACTTAACAAAGTAAGGAAACTCAAAATGGGAAACTCTTCTCTGATCTGTAGACTATAAAGCGAGCTTAATTTTCTAAATACAAAGAGAGAAATCTATTAGAACTTCTCAATGGCCTACTTTCCGGAAGGTTCCACTCTTACTATGAAACAGAGCAATAGACTCTTCCGTACCAAGCTAGCATTAAGTAGCAACACCCAAAGGAAAAGAATATTTGTGAGAATCTGTTAGTCTGTTTTAATGAAAATAATATAAAGCATCCCACTGTGTGACAATGTGGACTTTCTCCACTATGTGTATTTTTGACATAATTGCCACCACGGACCTTTACCTTCCCCAAAGCAGCTGTCACAGACACTCCACTCACATAATTTTAATAGGCAGCTAGCTTTTGTTTTTAAGTATTTTTTTTCATCCTTCTAAGACAGTATTTCCAAAGAAAAGGGTAACCATGTTATGTTTTATTATGATTTTCTGGAACGATTTTGCAGATGTGAAAAAGAGAAAGGGCCAGCTGCCCCCATTCGTTCGCCTCCTGGATCTCAGAGGCTTATGAAGCCTGGCTTCTCACTAGAGGCTTTGTTTCGGGAGGTGGCCAAGACTTCTCTCAGCCTCAGCGCTGGGAAACTCGGCTTCTTCCAGGAGGAAGGGTGGCCTGGAGATGACAGCTGGTGCCAGCGATGCTGAGGTGGACAATTATTACAATGAATGCAGCCTTCCCTGGCCAGGGTACTGGGCACGTCAGGGAGTCCCTGAACTTACTTTTGCTGCCCTCATCGGGGAGAACATCACCAGTCCTCACTTTAGTTCCACAACATCTTTCAGGGGACCACTATCTCTAAATGTTATTCAAATAAAAAAAAAAGGTCGAACACCAATAGCCAAATGCTTTTCGAACAATTGTTTTTTTTATTATAACTAAGAGAGTTTCTAAGGTTTTAATATATATCACACGCAGAAAGAATGGTTGGTTTATTTATCAATCGATGGAACTCTATTTTTCAAATCTTACATGCAATGCATTTTTACTTTTAGGATTGAGTTACGAGTTTGTGTGCATGAGCGTGTGTGTAAATACACGTGCATGCACACACACGCATGCACACACACACCATATTGATAGGCAGACTTCTAAAAGTAACAAACATCAAATATTCATTTATTGAGTCCCTCTCTCCCCACTGTCAACACTGTGAATCTCATTGTTGTCTTAATCATTGGAAAACACAAGCAGGTAAGGGTTTTTAAAAGGTAGATGCATAGTATTTATTGCTTTCCTCATATCGAAGGAAACAAAAGTGTTTTGGAAATAAACTTATAAAGCAGTTAAATAATAGCTTTAACTGCTTTATAAGAGGAAAATGTTAGCGTAGGGAGGAGATGAAAATTAATTAAAATATTAATTAATTATGGAAGAAAACCAATGTTTTATGTAAAAGATCGGCAGTGTGTTTGGTTGTGCTCAATAATAAACTGGCTTGTTGACTCTGGGCAATAATCTTTGAATCGAAAGATGAAGTTTCCTCTTCTAACCCTATTATATTGCTTACCCCATTGCTGCAGTGATTTGATTATGTGTCGATCTTTCTAAGTGGAAGGCAGGAGTGGATTCTCGTTCATCTCAATGTCGCCTGTCCTGACACGGTGGTTGGCACAGAGAAGGGGGCCCAGCCAATATGGTGGCGAGGGAGGGGTCTGAGATGCCAGAGCTCCACAGGGTAAAACAGATCTCAACGTTTCAGATGGAGCACCCCCTCCTTCATGCAGTATGACTTTGCTCACAGTCATGCATGAGTACACAGCGCTGGTGGATTCCACATTGTTTCATAATTCACCCCTTAATATGTCTGTCTCTCGAACAAGTCCCTGAGTTACTACTCCTTGAGGGATGAGGCTGTCCTATTCATGCCTGTATCCTCAGCACTCAGCACAGAGCCCAGCATAGAATGAACACTCAGTAAATATTTGCCAAAGGAACAATCGAAAGAGCTTTTCTCCACAGATTAGTGGTCTATTGCTTTTATACATAACTCAAAAAGTTCTCTAAATTTTCCTAAAGCCTCTTTTATTGCTCTCTTCCAATGTTGTGACCATTATCTATGTCTCCATTTCTCAGGTAACAATACTGGAGTGAGAATAGTCTATGAGATTGGCTCCACAGTCCCCAGTTGGGTAATCTGGGATTGGAACCCAGGCAGCCACTATAAAGCCCTGGACAGAATCAGTCACATTTCATCTCTGGCCCTTGTTTAGAATAATATAGCATCCAAGATCATTGACTATTTCTGTTTGAACGTCAAAGTCTCTGGCTCCGAAGAGCAGCAGTCTTCATTAGTAAGGTTGAAATCTCTAAGTAAAGTGCTGGAGCTAAAAATTTTCCTTCTGAAATTAGACCATAATGTGTAATACCCTTAGTTTCTTAATGTGAACACCTGGAGTACTTGGACCACCCCTCTCCCCTACTTCGATTCACTTAGCTTTGCATCTTTATTTTCCTTGGACAGAGGGGTACATATTTTTATGGTCTTTCTACAGGGCATTTTGCTAACAGTAGGGAAGAGGTATCTATATGTTTTGTTATACTTTTCATTTCTATTTAAACCTATTTACAAGCTACACACCAGGTCTCTTGATCAGACTTTGTTGATCTTCTGTTATAGCTCATTGCATTTATTAACAAACATTTATGGAGTACTTATTGTGTGCCAGGCTCTGTGATGAGTTACATGAGTGAGTTTCAGTGTCCGTCCTACAAGTATTCACAAATCATTGGTGACTTGAGAAGTGTTTTGTAGTTGGGGTGCCCCACTCAGTGATATCCTCAGTGATATTTGTGCTGCCTCCCTGTGGAAAATACCCAACAATGGTGCATGATGGGAGCTGCACACAGCACCTTAACCTTTTGGCCACTGTCATTGGCCTAACAGATTGTACGTGACCCAAGCTTGGCCTGTCTTCTCAGGACTGAAGCTGATAAAGAAAAGATCTCTTTTCCTTCAGGTTACATGTCTTTAAGGGTGTATGCCTGCCGTCCACCTTGCAGTAGAAGAAAAGGATACTCCCATGCAGAGAGAAAGATGAGAGATAGAGAATCCTGACAACATGAAAGTCTTATCGATGGATGGAGTCACCTCTCAGGTCATTACAAGTCATCTTACCCAAGGAGTGTCTATATGTTTCCCTTCTTTGATGAAATTAGTTCAAATTGAGTTCTCTTGCTTGCAACCAGAGAATTCTAAGACTCTGTAAGAAGTATTTTTGGAATATAGAGGAAGGTACAAATAGCTCAGTTTTATAAGTGAGGATGGGCTTCACAGAGGTGCAGACAACCAATGTTTGTCTTTAGAGATGAGGAGAGCTTCCACAGCAGGATGAAAAGTGCATTTCTGGGGGACAAAAAAAAAATTTGCATTTGGGTGGAAAACAAAATAATGATATGGGAAGGGACAAAAACAGAGAAATGGGCCCAACTTAGATCCCCAGGGGATTTCCTTGAGTGCCTTTCTGTGGGGTTTGGGCTTTGTCCTGTACACAATGATTGGGAAGTCATTGAAAGATTTTAAGCAAGGTTATGATATGGTCAGATTATGATGTTGGTCACAGTGGTGGGTAATTGAGAAAAAGGGAAAAAATCAGGTGGTCCAGACTGGAGGTTACTGCAGCAAATCAGGTAAGAAACAATGAAGATCTGGGGATGGCCCATCGAAGGTCAAGATGTAGACTAGAGGGGTGGCTCCCCCATTAGACAAGAGCGAGGGAGAAGAGGAGACAGTCTGAGATGGTGCCTTGGCTTCTGACTAGGGTGACCAGATGGTCGGTGGAGGCGCTGTCAACCAAGACTGAAGGGCAGGTTCTGGGGAGTGAGGATAGATTCCATTGGGCATGACCGATGCCCACTGACAGCCACTTGGGGATACCCGATAGACACGAAGAAGTAGTGGTGTTTAGCTCAACAGTGAAGTCAGAGCCGATGACACTGATTTAGAAGTCATTGCTACAGCAGTGGGCCAGATGCAGCCTCCCAGAAAACCCTGGGTAGCATTATTTTCTAAAAGATAGGTATTTTTCACACTGGGTTAATTTATCCCTTACATACAGTTCAATATTTACAACAGATACGAAATATTAGCATTTTTATTTTATTGATATAACTTACAACAGGCAATGTGAAACACATCATTTTTTTTTTCTTGGAGGAGGGGTGTTGAGGGAGATAGGAAAGTTGCAAACTCATTAATCTACTTGCCTAGCTCTGTGTTAATTTTTTTTAATATGAGCATTCTCATTCACTTCTAAAGTTACCCTGATACTTGCTTTGCTTTCTCTCTCCTTCTCTCCTCCTCCCTCCCTCCCTCTCTTTCTCTCTCTCTCTCCCTTCCTCCTCTTTTCCCTCCTTCTCTTCCTGCCTCCTTCCCTTTCTCTCTCTCCCTATTACTACTACTACTACTACTACTACTACTACTACTACTACTACTATTATTATTATTATTTTACTTTAGTTACTGAAGTGGCTTTCCTAAGTGCACATGTATTGGTCTGGAAAATATTCAGGCTGATGATTTTAGGAAGCCTCAGGAGTGTGGAGCTCTACATAAGGGTGCTTTATGATTGGCTGCCTTTCACCTGTTGAGTGCCCTATTAATTATTAAGGATGTTTCAGAATAGGTGTCGAGCTGACTTCATAAAAGTCGAAAATAGAAATAATTTCTGAGTTCCTTTTGGGCTTAGCCACCTTCAACTATTTTGTATCTCCTTTTCTTTTTTTCTTTCTCCTTTTGTTAGTGCATTTGTGAAAGTTTTTCCAGGTATCCGTAAGCTTTTCCCAGACAGTGGTAGAAGTTAGCCAATCATACACTCCAAATACAGGGTGACTACTTCTCCTTTCTTTAAAAAACTGGGTTTGGGGGACATAAACTGAGAGCCAGAAGATGTGGGTTCTACTAGCAACTTTATTATGAGTTTACGGCCTTGGACTGGCATCTCACCTCTTTGTGCTCCATTTCTACATCTGGAAAAGGTGTACCCTCTTATAAGAGTAGTCTAAGACAAATATCCAACACATATGGAGGTACTTTGAATTTTTCAGAAAGTCTCTTAAGGCAATATGCTTAACTACAACCGACTAAAAGTCACCAGTATCTATTTGTCTTTGTGAGATTAATGAAGATGAATAAAAATACTTAGCCCAGTGCTTGGCATATAATAGATGCTCAGTAAACTTGTAATTTCCAATGCTTCCCTTTCTTCTTTACTCTCTCCTTGCCTTCCTCCTTTTATTCTTTCTTCTGTAAAATGCTTTTTAGTGTTTCTTTGCTAACTTATTTAGACTTGGTTCAGAACAATCTTCAGTTTTCAGAAGCAAGACCATTTTTAATATTCTAGGACCATTGTATTTGCGATAATGCAAAACTAGAAATAGGACCCTGTCACCATGCTTATATTGTATTATTTTAGAAAACAAATAATAGGTCAGCTGTTACAGACAGAAAGGAAAGTGACAGACCTTGAAAGTTTCAGAGTAGGGAAGCACATGATGGTCCCAGCCACGATGATTAAAGGGTTGGTGGTTTGGACCTAACTCCAGCTGACCTCCGCTAACTCTGTGCTGATGGAGGCAAGAGGGTTTCAGACTTCTGCTTCCTCTTAGAGGCCTTTGGCTTGTCTGAATTTTGAAAATGCCTGCCTCTCTCCCCTAACGTTGCAGACTAATTTGTGATGTTATTACACATTTTCTCAGGTTTTTAAAAACAGACATGTTATTAATAAGGAGAGATGTTTGGAGTACTCTCCAATAAATTAATCATCAAGGTGTTCTGAATGGAGGTCATTTTATGTCATTGATCTTGAATATCTTTATACTTCAGAGAAGTTAAGCTACAAGACATGGCAGCCAGAATTGATCTCTGCGAACGCTAGCCTTGAGCCCCAGTGTCAGAGATGTGTCTGTGTTTCTGATTTCTGAACCTTCTCTCCTGACCCTCCACCCTCACACAGTAAAAAATGTCAACCAACCTCAAACCGTACTGAGTTACAACCGGTTTGCCCCATGCGGATTAAATTTCTATGGCTTAAATTTTGTTTTGTCAAGAAAAGTAAAATTAGATCCTCTTATATAGAAAAGGGATTTTATATTTCATCAGTTTCAAAGGAGGAATGAAATGCCTTTTTAAACATAAGAATAAATAACAGTGCAGGGATTTGAGCCCCTGGCGAGTCCAACGAGGTCATTGGGCATTTCCCCCAAATTCCCAGAGGAGAATTGTGAAGGACTGACTGATGCTTGGCGAGGAGCAGAGACCTCTGGCAGGCTCAGGGCTCAGGGCTTAGGGCAGCCTGCCAGCAGACACCGCCAGGCCAAGGCCATGCTCTGCCTGAGCCGGAAGCCACAGGCTGCCACAGAGTTGTTCTACTCCATCTTCTTCCCTCCCTTTCCTCATCCCTCTCCCATCCCCAGACTCTTTTCCAGAGGTGGAGGGACATACCTTCAGAGAAGCCCTGGAGCTTTCAGGCACCCCATTTCCATATTTTCCTGAGATGATTCCACAGGCAAGTGGAGACCACGTCATTGCTCCTACTCCTACAGAAGGAAAAAGACATTAAAAGTTGCTTTGCAAGCTGGGATCAAAGTGTTGGGGCGTTGAAGCAGAACTTGGTTAGTTATGGGAAAAGCTGGCCAGATAAAAGCAGTTAAGACCAGCATACATCTTTCTATTAAAATTTAGGCATTTACAAATTGTGCTTTGTTTTTATAAACTAATTAAACAGGTACTGTTGGTTATAAGGGAGCAGGCCATAGAAACTAGCCTGAAACTGGCTTATTCATAATTTGCTGGTGTCCAAAATTCACATTAATTTTTATATTCAGAGGCAAACAGTTTTTCTTGCACAGAAATTTAGCTTTTTGCTTGTCCACTCAGTGCCTAAATAGTGCCTGATACATAGCAGATTCCTATAGCCTAGTACATAGTAAACACACAATAAGTAATGGCAATAATAACAATTGTTGTTGAATTTTTGTTATCCTTTTTTCTCTTACGTAGCATTTTCCTGTTTCTTAAGAAGCAAGTTATCTCTTGAAACTGTTTTGATAAATAAGCCTAAAAATGTAGCTTATTCACGTTTTTCTGATGTCCAAAATTCATGTATTTATCTTATGTATATATTTTTTCCCTCTGAAATCATTATGTCTGTCTACACAACCATGTAGTGCCTGGCTTGTCAGTTCTCGAATTCCTCTGTCTGACTCAGTTCCAGGCACAAAGTAGGAGATATAGATGTATATATCTGTATATTTTGGAAAGATAGTCATAATCTACTATAAGATGCATGCTTAGGCTCCAGCAAGCCCCCTATGAAAAATGAGTTTATTCATGGTCTCTTCTCTTCATTCTATATGCAATTTTTGAACACCTGCTGAGTATAGCTTATACGCCAATCACAATTCACAACTCTGCTGTATCTACCCTGTAGACTACACACAGGCACATTTGATTCCTCTATAGTCTCTGGAATGCATAGCTTTTATATCCCTTTGTTATTGAGAGACATTTGGGAAAGCATTTCAGTAACTTGTTTTCCAGATCACCGTCTTCCTGATGTTAAAAATAATCAGTAAATTTGATTGTGAAGATTACCTATTTTATGGTAGAGCTCTGGTAGCTGAACCTCCACTTTCTCTCTTTGGAAAAGATGATACTCAGCTTGTTCACAGACTGGAGGGATCATGTTGAACTGTCTGGCTACAGAATAGGCTTCCTAGGGAGAAATCAGATTGTAACTGGGTTTATACTGATGAGAAACAAGGCTGTCCTGTGATTCGTATGCATGAGAAATTTTCATTTTAGTGAAATCAGTACAAACCAAGAAACATGTAGAATGCCAAATAATAAGCAAAGTTATGACCGCCAATTCACTAAGAGCAATACCAAAGGCAAAAAATCTTTACTATTCTTCAGGAGAGTTTGGATTAAGTAAAGCCCAGAGCAAATTAGTCAAAGTGTGAATTATGGGCCATTATAAAGAAAATGTAGTTTGATTATTTCTAGATTTCTAAAGAAATGAAACTTAAACTAATGTCTAAAAAAATAAAAAATCTGTAATTAGCATGTAATTACAATATAGTTATTTAATACAGTTTTAAAAAGAAAACTAGAATATTGTGTTCGATATGTCGTTAGCTGACAAATTCAGTTTATCCTCTTGCCACCAAAGAAGATGCTAAAACACGATTCCTGTTAGCATCCTGCACCCTCCCTGTTCTATTCTGAGCTGATGAGATCCAGCCCCATATCCATCTCTATAGTGACGGAATTAATCATAAAGTTCTAGTGCGATAGCGGTTGTGAAGAAAGATTGCAATAGTTCTTACAACTTACACGTGGTAACCGGAAGACAATACAGGCATACCTCAGAGATACTGTGGGTTTGGTTCCGGACTACCACAATAAAGTAAGTGTCTTAAGGCAAGTCACACAGATGTTTTGGCTTCCCAGTGCATATAAAAGTTATGTTTAGACTATACTGTTGTCTATGAAGCGTTCATGAACATTACGTCTAAAAAAACGGTGTACATACTTTAATTGAAAAATATTACTAAAAAATGCTAACCATTATCTGAGCCTTCAGCGGGATGGTAATCTTTTTGCTGGTGGAGGGTAACGTCGAAGATCACTGATTACAGAGACCATAACAAATATAGCAATCATGACAAAGTTTGAAATATTGTAAGAATTGCCAAAATGTGACACCAAGTGAGAAAATACTATTGGAAAAATGGCACCAATAGACTTGTTCGACGCAGGGTTGCCACAAATCTTCAATTTGTAAAAAATGCAGAATCCGTGACGTGCAATGAAGTGCGGCAGCACCTAGGAGGACCAGGTGCTGTAGGCGTAAAAAAATAAAGTAAAATAAAATAAATAAAGTGCAGCAAAATAAAACGAGGTGTGCCCGTGATAAGATGCTCAGTGGCCATGTGGAAACAGAAATGGAATTACCATGATCTCCATAGCACTCCACCGCGAGGTTCCCCAGTACATCGCCATTCCTTGGTTTATCACGTGTGTCATGGCTCGAACAATTTCTGTGGAAGGCCAGACAGCATTTCATGAGTTTCTCTGCTTTCCAAAGTTTTGTGGTCTTTTTTTATCGTCCTGCCCAAAGCTTACAAGTTTAAGGCAAATATTTGTTTGATTAACATAATTACTTTGACATTGGTGACAACATAATCGTGTACCGTGATATATTGATGGTTTGGAAGCTGATGGTGCTTTTGGGTAAATTGACTTTCTGTTTCCATTTGCAGCAGCGATGCTAAGTGATACTAAAACACGGTGACCACCTTAAGTTCTTCCTTTACTTTTATCGCTTTATGGTTCCTTGCCCGATGAAAGAACACATGATTAACCCCTTTTAGAACTCGATACTTTGCTCACTAAAGTGAGAAGTAAGAGAAAGCATTTGTTTTGACTTTGTAGAATGTAAGGTCATTGAGAATAGAAGGCCTGCCTGCCTTTGTGTGTTGGATTTGCAGAGCCAGGCCTCACACGGCGTGGCTGTTTAATAGAGATGAATCATCAATAATGTATTTAGCAGAAAGATAAACATATTAAATGCTGAACAAACAGCTGAAGTAACAGTGGCTCCCAGCCCACAGTGGTACTCCTTGTCCTGGACCACTTTGAACCAAGCTTTATTCGAAAACACCCATGTAATGAATTTCACCGGGGCCTGCTCATGGCCCCACCCGTTTGCTCATCATCCTCTTTCAGCTTGACATCACGTTTCCTAAACAGGACACTGAATGCCTTCCCCAGAGGGGTGGAGCTGAGCTAATCCTCTTGGCACCAGCCAGATGGGATTCAGAACCAGAGAGCATGGAGAACTTCAAGTTCAACTTTGTGAAAAGTCACAGTCACGGTTGGATTTCTTCTATAAAACAGGTCAGACAAACACCCAAGAAGCCGGGTCATTTGACATTTTCAGGAGATTGCAGGCCTCGGCTTCTCTGTGTTTCACTAATACCTGTGGGCTAAATGTCCTTCAGAAGAATCAAATCCTGGTCTCAAAGTCAAGTTGAGGTAGATGTATTATTATTTTATTTCTCACAAGCAAGCACCGTCTAAATTGATAGGAGACAGGATTTGGAATGAGACAGCCATGGTTAGGGTCTTGTTTGGCTTGTATAAACATTTTAAATTGTACTTGGTTTTTTCCTTTGAAAAATGAGAATGCTCTTATTCACCATCGTCTACCCAATTGAGGTAGAAGTTGGTTTATAAGCAAACTAAAGTAACTCAGCAACAAAAACCATGAAGTTCATTCTTTCTTTATAAAGCAACTTGAATATACAGAGTTATACGAAACATTTTTCTTTTATTATATGAAATGGAAATGATGAACATTTCTGGAAGTTGAAAGCCATTTTTTAAATTTCTGCCCCAGAAGCATTCTCTTTTTTTTTTTTGGACATCGCCATCATCGCATGAGCTCCCTTTCCTTTCACATCCTGTTTCATTCAGAGTCGACGAGTTTATTCAACCAACCGTATTTATTAAGTCTCTGCTGTGCTGGTTGCTGGGGATATTGTGGTGAATCCCACATGTTGGTAAACACCGACAAGGTTAACAGAGAATAAATTGAACCTAAGACACTCCCCTGGCTCTAGTCTGTAATCAATAAGATGAGCACAGAACACTGCAGTGGCTTGGCCATGTGGCAGTCACTGAGGCCTTGACAAGAGCAGTTAAGGTGGAGGGCAGGTTGTGACTCTTCCTGTTTTTCCTTTCCTTTCCTTTCCTTTCCTTTCCTTTCCTTTCCTTTCCTTTCCTTTCCTGTCCTGTCCTGTCCTGTCCTGTCCTGTCCTGTCCTGTGACCTTGGTTAACAAAATCCAGTAAGTTTCAGCTGTATACTTTAACACTAAGGCATATATATATTTACACTGTGTGTTCCATCATCTTCCATCGTTAGATTTCTTTCTGTCTCTACATATTAGACCCCCTTCCCCACGTCTACCTCCCCCCTCCTCCCCCATCCCCTACCCTCTGGTAACCACTAGTCTATAGTCCATGTCCATTCATTCACTTATTTAACACACTTGGATTAAAAGCCTGATATTTGCCAGGCACTGTGCAAGTTGCTGCGTTCATCCGTGAGTAGAGCAGATACAAGCTCCTGGACTCAGAGAGTTTAAGATGAGTGGAGAAGATAGAGATGTAAACAAGTAATAATTACAAAATGTAAAGTGTTATGAAGTAAACAAACAAGGGGCTGAGGTAGGGAATGAGAAGGAAGACCTGTTTAGTAAGGTCAAGAAAGGTCTCCCTGAGGAGTAATGTTTAGGCATAGAAATAAAAAGAAGCCAGGCATGGGAAGAACAGGAGATGTGCATCTAGACAGATGGAACGGCATATGCAAAGGCCCTGAGGCAGAGCTTAGTGATTTTTCAGCAATCGGAAGGAAGCCATCATGGCAGGAGCCTAGTAAGGAAGGACAGGGGTATAAGATGAAGTCGGGAGAGGGCAAACCATGTTGTTTCTATGTTATTCAAAGTTTAATGGGATGTCATTAGCATCTAGGTAAGGGAATGACAGGATGTAGTTATAGTTTAGAATGTTATGTCTGTGACATGGAGAACCACAGTGAGGGCACTAGAGGAAGTAGGAAGATCTTTAGGAAGGTATTGCAGCATTCCGGGCAGGAAATGAAGGTGGCTTGGAATAGGGAGACATGAATTCAGATATAGTTTAGAGGTAGAATCCACAAGATTTGCAGATAGACCTAATGTGGCAAGTAAGGGAAAAACAGGAACCAAGGCAATCTCCCAGATACCTGGTCATTTACAGTGATGAGGGAGACTGAGGGAAGAATGAGTTTTGGTGGTGGGGGTGGGGGGGATCCAGGGTTCCTCTTTGGGCATGCAAAAAAAAAAAAAAATTCCCATGAGATACTAAAAGGAAGATGTTATGTAGAGATAATTGAATAAATGACACAGTAAGCAACCTGGGCCTGAGTTGATTTATTTGTTACCAGTCTATCAATTATACTAAAATTCTTGGAGCTAGGTGAGATTATGTAAGGGGAGTGTGCAGAGGGGAAAGAGAAGGGGTCCTAAGAGCCAGCCCAGGAGTCAGAGAGAGGACACTACAGAGTCTGGGTCATCGGCAGCCAGCGGGGCAGGAAGGAAGTCAAAGGGGGAGATGTTTGAGAATCAAGAGTAGAGAATGCTTCGCGAAGGAGTTGTGCGCACACACTGGAACACGTGAACGTTCAAGTCAGAGGGCTCAAAACAACGTCCACAGGACAGGGAGGTTACTGCAGACCACGAGGAGAGCAGATTTAGTGTCAGTGGTGGGATGGGACCAAGGCCAGGCTGGCACAGATGGAAGAATGGGCGTGGGAAAAGAAAGGCTTTACAGACAACCTGGGTAGACTCTAAAGCCTTCCTTTTCCTATGCTATTCTTCCAAGTTTGAAAGTGAACGGAGCAGAGATACAGGGCAGTAGCCGAAGGGGTATTTAGAGACAAGAGAAGATGCGACAATAAGCCTGTATGCCCTTGGAAGTGAGCTAGCAAGAGGAGTTATTGACGATGCGGGCTAGAGGGGTGGGAAAGAAAGCAGGGAGGGGGAGACTTGTTAAAGTGAGATGGAGGAGGGCAGAGCACCTGTGGGGTGGGAAAGACACTTCCATCAAGATGGTGGGACCCAGCGGATTTGTCGAACTCGCCTTCGGAAGACATGGGAGCTCCTAGTTGATGAATTCTATTCTCAATAAACTGTCAAGTGAAAAGGGGTGGACGTGCAAAGCGAGGAAAAGGTGAGCACGAATAGTTCTGAGCGTGGAAGAGCCTATGCAAGACACCCCATGCCCAGGCGCTTCAGTTGCTGGTAATTTCTTGCTCCCTGATTTGTTTGGCTGACCGTGGAGAAGAGCTTGGTGGAATGTGGAAAGAAGAACTCTGGGAGTCCTTTTGTTCTTTGTCATCAGCAAAATTGTTATCTTTGAGAACAATCTATCATGGAAATAGTATTATTGCAAGATTTGTAGTTTGGTTGGGTTGATCCCAGTATTACAATTTGAAAAAGAGCCACGGGACAACACAAATTGTAATATGCACCAAATGAACACAGCTAGCTTTCTCTTTTTTTCTTATTTTTCCTTTATTGGGTGAAGGCACTTCTCAACAAGTTCTGAGAAAAAAGATGTCTTTAGAACCACATTGTAGTTATAATATCACAAATGGCCCTTGTCATTGTTACTAAAAAATTTATTTTATTTTATTTTTTATTTGGGCGAGGCAAGCCTTGGTTGACCTCACAGGTTGCAAGGACCTTGTCAGCTTACAATCCCTTATTTTTTATTTAATTTTTTAATGTTTTAATTTTTACTTTTTTTTTTTTTTACGCCTACAGCACCTAGTCTTCCTCTGTGGTCTCTCATCCAAGTACTAACCAGGCCCAACCCTGCTTAGCTTCCGAGATCAGACGGGATTGGGCTTGTTCAGGGTAGCATGGCTGTAGACCTAAAAAAATTATTTTAAAAACAGAACGTATAGAAAGGGAGAAAGTTCATGGCTCTTAATTTTCAGTTTTATTTGTAGTAAAAACTTTAACTCAAGAGTTCTTATCCTCGGAGGAGGCTGCAGAATGCAGGGAGAAATTGTGGGAGGACTGAAAGGCCACTGTTGGAGACTCATGTTGCCAGAAATGAAATTTAATTTAATGCATATTAATTTTTTTTTTAATGTTAGAGAAAAATTCCGCAAGTGTTTAGGCGTCTAACAGGAAATCACCATACAGATGGCTGAGGTAGGTTTTTATATGATTCTACTATTTAAGGACACTAGAGGGCAGCATTGTTAAGAAAAAAATTAACCAAGACTAAATGCTTTTGTTTTACTTGCATATCATGGAAACGCATTTTAAAAGCCTCCTAAGTCACAGCACCGATTCCAAGTGGGGAAAAGGACCTTAGGAGGACCATTTAGTGCATTGCATTCACCTGCCCGTGGTAAAGGACACACAGACAAACTGATTAGATCTGGCAACCCAGGCCTGAATGTGACTTCCCTACTTTTCCAGT